TGTAGATGGTGTAGTTAAAGTAAGAACTGTTCATTAAGCTGTAGCTACATCTTTATCTTCAACATTCACCACGTCACCTTTAACCTGCTGGGGCCAGGGTGACGTGGTGGGTTGGCAGATTGGTAATAAATAATAAATGTTAGGAAATTACAGCATCAGTTGTGGGATATAATTGTTGTTCTACCCAGATTTTGAATTCTCTCTTTCTGCAGTATCAGTACTTGCTATTTTTTAATCTCATATTTCTGTTCTGTTTTCAATAAGCAGTAGCATATATAGATTTTACAAAGTAAAAACACTGTTGAGTCTGTTACAGGTAAAGAGAACAGAGGTAAGCAGGAGGCGTTGGGTAGGTATGTTGTTTCCCTATTATCAGTGTTACTTTTTGTTTTTATTAGTCTTTTACCCTTCAGTCTGCTCAGTCCGCTCAATCAATTAGAGTCTGACTCTAGTTATTAAGCTCCCCTTGCGAAAATGTTTTTGAAATCTTAATAGTCAGGCTTTCCAGTTGGTCTTGTATTCCTGTAGATGTCCAGTAATATCCTCTTGTATGGTTTTTCTCTTATTTTCCCCCTTTGCTGCATTTGCTTTTCGCTAATAGTCTTTAAAGTTTTATTATTGTTGACCATAGCACATGAACAATGTAACTATTGGACTTCTATCCTTTGCATGCAGTGCACATAATGTGCTTGAAGTTGTGACATTAGTAGTTTTATATAGGCTCAGACTGGGTGTGCTTAGAAACCATGAAAAGGAACATGGGGGGGAAAGGTCATCTAAAGCTATATGTGTTTTTAGATTTGTTAATCCAAAGTACAAACCAAATGAAATATTTACTTTGGGCCAAGCTGTTAAAGTTCAATCTGGAACAAGGAACACAGATAGTAAAATGAAAGTGCTTGTGCAATGTGAGGCAGAAAAGCTGGTGGCAGATGAACTAGATAAACTGAAACAATACCCCGATTCAGATGAGAGACAGAAGTAGTCAAATGAGGCACCGCTCCTTCCTTTAGGAGTATTACATCAGAGCAGAGAGTATGCACACCTGTGCTCCGTCAGCAGCTCACATATGGATGTGGATGGAGAAGAGGTCGGGTGTTGAGCTGAATATGGAACCACAGGAAGGAGGCGGCCTGAAGGAGCTGGTGCTTCGATGGTTTACTGAGACACAGGCACCGCTCATCCAGCACAACGGAAACTTCCCTGACTGGTTTCAAGGCCTTGCTACGAGAAAGTAAGCAGCATACAAAAGACCTTTGCTTCAGAACACGTAGAGACTAGTGAAGAGAAGATACCCAGAAAGCTGATTCTGTTCACCTGGATGTAGTGAAGAAGTCACTTTGATGACTAACCAAACATTTCTCCCACTGAGAACGCTACGTCCAGATAAACACAATCAACTTTCTGGGGTTTCCTTATCCAGATGACTGAGCACATGAAAAAAACTCGGCTTTTTTATAGGAAGTTTAAGAATTTCTGCTTTACTGGGGCTTCATCACTTACACGTGATTTCATTTGAACACTTATTCATAGGCTAC